ATGTATCATAAAATCTGAAAATCTCTTAAAGTAATACAGTTCTAGATCCTTATGAGAGTTAGTTGCCTTCTCTTGGCATTTCATCCTAGATGCTTAGGAACACATTTCCTATGAATAATTCTCCTATACAACCACACTACTATTTCAGGATATATTTTGAATCTTCATATCAGTTTTAATTAGGAAATTAATAGGTATTTGTTTCTGTAATTGTTAAGACTTTGCTAATTAATCTAGTTTTAAAGCGGTATGGTAGATGAGAAAGCATTTTTAGTCTCCTTATTTAGATTCAGTAAAATGTGGGCCTCTTCTGTGCTTGTGCCCTTGTGCTTGGCACACTCACATGGCACCTTGCCTCACAGCTCTTTCAAGGGCAAGTTACACTTGTCGATGAGGACCAAGTAGATAAGTGACATGGCTTTCAAAGTATTTTATACTTAAGTCTACCTCAGTGTTCACATGGTTAAAATAAAGCAATATAAGAAAAACAATAAATCCAGAAGACAGAGGTAACCAGTTATACTGTTTGCTTGTATGTCCTTTCAGTTTCAGTGTTCATTGTGTAAATTCAGATATTCCTCTTCTGGGGACTTTCTTATACAGAAAGTAGTATGCTGTACGTGTGGTTCTCTACCTTGTGTGTATTTCATTTTATAATAGGTCTTAAATATTTTTCATGTCAGTATATAGCATCTTAATTTTTTTTAGTAGCTTGGTATTCCATCAAATACATTGCCATTCCTCTTTTAAGGGCCCATGAGGATGGTTTCCAGTCTTTTCCAGTTACAAGCTGCAGTAAATAACCTTGCACATTTGTTATTTCATATAAAGAGAATTTAAAACTTTCTTAGTGATCTTATATGGATAATTCTTAAATCTGTTGTCTTCTGTGTTGTAGAACAGTTGTATTCTGAATAGATACCTTATTTTATAAATAAAAAATTGAAACCAAGGCAAAATAATTTTCTTAAGATTAGAGTGAGTCAGTCTTGCATTGGTATACTTAGGGTGCCTTTTTATTCTTCCATGTATTTGAGTTTTCCCAGTGCCTTGGCTTTATTTCATTTTAGGTAGGCTTTATAAGGACTGGCTTGTGTGGCTTACTCATCTGAGGTTAGGAACGAAAACATTTTGATGTCAGGGGTGGCTCTTTGCTTTTGCTATTTTTAGTTTTCCACTATATTCTTGGAGTTAAAAAATGAAGAAGAGTTTTTTCTAGATGCAGATTTAAAAGTAACTGACACATTAAATTGAAACTTGAATTTATTCTTTTTAAAAATTACCAAAATTACATGTTTATTGTCAACAGAAAATTAAACACTACAGGGTTGTCTGTTTCTGCTTCCCCAGCCATCCGTGTGACACAGTGTCCGTGGTTTGATGTTTAACCTTTTAAATATTTACATGTATTTTTTACATCTATTTCAAAAAGGAACTCAAATAAAATTGTACTTTATATAGTGTCTTAACTAGATCTATAGAAACATGGCTTAAAGCTTATCCTAAGGTGATAGGATTTAAAATGCAGTGTTTTTTCAGAAGTGTATTTCTTCCTTGAAACGTCAATCCCTTCGTTCTGAGGGATATATTTATCCCTCAGAAAATATATATTTTTTCAATATATAGCCATATGCATATTTTGATGAATTACTTGTAATATGTTGAGATGGACAATGTGTGTGCCACTTAATATTTGCCTTTACAGCAAACTGCCTTTCTGATTCATGTTTCACAGTTGTTGAAAAGTAGATAATGTTTTTAATGGAAGGGAGAAATGCAGATACCCCCTCCCTGTTTTGTTTTGTTTTTTTAACAGTGTCGTGTTGTAAATTTTCCAGACTTCAAAAATTTTAAGCTTAGTTTTTTCTACAAGTTACGCATGAAAGCATTCTCATTGAAAACCCAAACAGTAACAATAAAATTATATATTCACTTGGCTTTGAGTCACTTACTCCAGGCTTCAAAGAGGGTATCTAAAAAGAGCAAGGTGAGTGGACCATGAGAAGATGAATAGATGGACATCCTCTTTTTTACATGCCCCTTTTGGCACACGTGACAGTATTTTTCTGTGATAGATGTTTACAGGTCAAAGAGTATGTGTATTTTAAATAAATAAATATTGTGAGCTTGCCCAACTTCAGCTGTTTCATAGTGTTAGCTGATTAGTGTTAGTACATCTAAACATGTAAGTACATCTGCATAGGAATAAAAGAGGTTTTTTTGTTTGTTTGTTAAGGATGAGAGATAAGTATATTGTTTTGCTTCCTTGGCAGTTGTTCTGTTGAAACAAAAGTTTGGAATGGGAGCAGTTAATCCCTTTTAGAATACACAGTGTGCTACCTCTTGGATCATACAACATCTGTGTCTTTTGTTTGAGAGGCAGCTTCTTTTTTGTACCTACCTGTGCATGCTTAGTAGTCGACTAAATAGCATGACATCATTGGAGGAATGGTTTTAGAGTGTGGCATGCTTAATGGATGGTAATGATTGGTTCTTCATTCTTGTACGTGTGTGTGTTTCCTACTTTAGCCTTTCCTCATTATTAAGGGAGTGTGACTGCTGTGAGGTAGGTTACCACACATACAGCTGTCTCTTCTTTCTTAGTCTACTATATGAAAATGTATAATGGTCTACACAGCCTGTTTCCCAGTCCTTTAGATATAAAGCCTTAGCAAGTCATTTAACTTCTGAGTTTCCTGTATTAAATTGAATCCCAGTCCTTTAGAGTCATATACAAGTACCTCTTGATATCCAGGTCTGTTTGATTCTACAGTTTGGATATCTAGCCTTCCTTCAGAAAGTAAGTTTGGATATTGAGATCTGCATTTTCTTAATATACTGTGTCTGTTTCTGAGTTTCGGGTAGCAAATAGTGAGGGTTTGGATAGTAGGGAATATATTTGAAAATTTAATCAGATTGATTCAGTTCCTGAGTTTTAAGATATAAGAATTAAGACACTGAGAGTTTGGATAGCAAGGAATAATTGTATATGAATTTATTTTGTATGCACTAAAAAAAAAATCTGTACCCAAAAAGTAAGATATTTTAAGGTCAAGAGTTAGAGGAGACCTTAAAAGATCATTTTACCCAAACTCCTATTTGATCCTTTCTAAAACAAACTGGCCCTCCAACTGATGCTTGGACATGGAAAGTGGTGAGAAGCTGACTATATTGTATGTCCTTCTGGTTTATTGTTTGAAGTGGAGAGGAAGTGCTAGGCAGTGAGCAACCATGGAGACCATGGGGAAAAATGACTGTCATCTGATGGATAAAATAACTTCCTTCTAGAAAACTGATAGTGGAGTACTATAAAGTTATCAAAGCATAAAGACCATGAAAGAGAACAAATTAGATTAGTTCTTTTCTTTCTTGAAAGCTGTTGGGTTTTTTTTCCTCTTCTCCTTTGGGAGGTTTGTAGTACTTTGCTTCTTTCTGAGCAGGAATATCATCCACTTCCAGTTGCCCATCTTTTGCCTACCCTGAATGGCTGGTTGGGTCATCTACCTCTTCATCAAGCCCTGGCTCCTTTCTGCTCATTTCTGTGTTTTTTTAGCCTCTTCCTGGGCCGTCCTTTTCCTTCCGTTCATCTCTTGCTTTGATCCTTTGACAGAGGCATTGTGGGACAGGATTTCTCCAGTATGAATGCCTTGCCAAATGAGGTTCCATATTCTGGGTTCCTCTGTACTACACACATGCACACTCCATGAACTGATCCATGTCACCCTTGAAGTTCAGATAGGCCTTTGTCACATCAGTCTGCTCTTCCTTAGAACCTTTGTCTATCTTTTCAGAACCTTTGTCTATCTTTTCAGTACCTTGAGTGTCCTCCTCCAGTGTGTGTCCCAGTCCCAGGTTTGGTTGAGTACAGCGGAGTCCTTATCCACTGTCCCCTGCTCGTTGTACTCTGCTCTCTCGTCTTTGTCACTTAAGACGGAACAGACTTCCCTGAGGAACTGGAAGTGGCGGGTGCTGTCCTCCTCGTCACTCTTGCCCACTGAGTCTGGATGCACCTGTAGGGCCACGTCATGGTGGCTCTGCTGGCCATGCCCGTCAGCAGTGAAGGTCTGTGAGGCTGCAGAGCCCTGCTGGGCATGAGGCCAGTGTGAGCCACAGCTCACATAAGACCTCTGAAGGGAAGGGGCTTCGTCCATCTGTCTCAGTCAGTGACACAGAATCTTGTACATACTAAGTTCATAATAAGTAGTTAATGAGGATTATATAATGTACTTTTGAAAGTTAAGTTAGAAGTTGAGAAGGGAAATTTAAGCTAAAATTTTCTTTTAAAAATAGTCTGTGTAGTGTTTTACAGTAAATATGGTTAGTCTTTTTGTTGAGCTGAAGAATGGAACAAAATTGTGAAGGTTGACTTCCACAACTCAAAGCTGGACTCTCCTTAGAGGTTAAATTTTGGCATGGCTTTTCCTTTGTAGAGAAATAAAAAGTTCATGTAACTTTGATTGTTTCTTGGTAACTTATGAGTAAAAGTGATACTACATGTTAAGTCTATGGACTTACTTTTGACCACTATATGTTTAACCATAATCCAATCCAATATCCAGTGTAGCTGAGTTAAGCGGGTTTTTTTTTTTTTTTTGGTTAAGAGTACCTAGGAGAAAAAAAAAAAGAAGGAGAAGGAAAGAAAAAAAGTATTCTATATTGATATCTAAGCGTTTCCCTCATCCCCAATTTTCTTTAATTTCTGATCTGGAGGGTTGTTCCATTGAAGTGAGTATGTGTACCAGTTACCAGTAACTTCCATAGAAGACCAGTGAAAAATCTTTGTCATTTCAGTTCTTTCCATGAGATTTTTGAATGGTCTTCTGTGGATTAAAAAAAAAAAAAAGCCTATAAACATACTTTTGAAAGAATACAGTTAGCTATATTACGAATTCAGTTCTTTGAGAGGAAGGCAAGCTGTTACATATTTTTGGCTGTCTCAAATAACACACCCTAGTAAGTAGGTCCTTAGTATACATTGATTTCATGAGTGAATGGGAATAATTTCTTTTTAGGGTCCCGATGAAGAAGCTGTTGTAGATCTTGGCAAAACCAGCTCAACTGTGAACACCAAGTTTGAAAAAGAAGAACTAGAGAGTAAGTTTGTTTAAAATAACTTGTTTAGCAGGATAAATTACTAATGAATGTTTGTTAGTGTCCTTTACCTATTATTTGTTGAAATATTTGTTGTTGTCATTGTAGAGCATACATTTAGAAGAGTGTTCAACACTTTTCTAAATATAGTTTAAAGAAGAATAATACAGCAAAACCCCATTTAACCACTACCCATATCTGCAAATAGAACATTCCCTGAAATATAAATATCAGAATGCTTTTCAAACTTTACTGATGGTTACCATTACTTATCTTGGAAATTGAAATGCCACAATTATAAAATGAGTTAATTCTTTGTTTTTCTAACAGCCTGGGTAATTTGAATTATGAGCAAACTATAGCGTGCCAGACTAATAAGCCACAGTTATCACTGGTTGTCATCTAAATGTTCATTTTATATGTCTGTTAATCAGCCTTTTAAAGTACTTATAAAAACCTCAGCATAGAATTGTGTAGCAAATGAGTTATTTACCAATCTGTTTTCCCTGAGCCGGAAGAAGTCCTGTGACAAATGGTTTTTTTGTTTCTTTCTTTTTTTTGAAATAATTTTAGATTTACAGAAGAGTTGCAAGGGTAGTACAGAGTGTCCCCTGTATACGTTTCACCCAGCTTTTTCTAATGTTAACATTTTATTTAGGTGTAAGTTTATGAAAATGAAGAAATTAACATTGATACAATACTACTAACTAAACTACAGATTTTACTAGTTTTTCCACTGATGTTCTTTTTCTGTCCCAGGATCCCGTTGAACAGCTCAGGTTGTGATAGGACACTTAGTTGTCAGGTCTCCTTAGTCTCCTGTAACCTATGACAGTTTCTAGATCTTTCCCCATTTTTCATGACCTTGACATTTGGAAGAGTAGTGGTTAGATACTAATAGAATGTCCCAAAATGTGGGTTTGTCTAATGTCACATTGTGACGTTATAATCTCATAGTCCAGATCATGGGTATGAGATACGTGATGTGCCCCTCTCACCTGTGGACAGGTGTTATCAACATAACTTACCCTGTTATGTTAACCCTGAACACTTGCTTAAGGTGGTGTTCGTGGCAGATGTTTTGATAGACTTATTTTGGGGTCTTTTTGAGACCTACATTTTTGAGTTAAAGTCTTCTGTGACAGCTAAATGGGGCCATTGCTTTACAAAAAGAGGTGGAAAGAGACACAAATAAGTGTTCTCCACATTTGCTTCCTGAAATGGAAAAAAAACCCTGTTTTTTTTAAAGTAACCTGTGTATCTAGTGTATTTATCAGTCGATGGTATTAGCCCTTGGTGTAATTAGCCCTTGGTATAACAGAGCCCTTGGTGCTCTGTAAAATAAGAGAAGTAACAGGAGACTAGCATTGTTAATTACCTGAACTTACACATAATTCTTTTTTTTTTTTTTTGCGGTACGCGGGCCTCTCACTGTTGTGGCCTCTCTTGTTGCGGAGCACAGGCTCTGGACGCACAGGCTCAGCGGCCATGGCTCACGGGCCCAGCCGCTCCGCGGCATGAGGGATCCTCCTGGACCGGGGCACGAACCCGTGTCCCCTGCATCGGTAGGCAGACTCTCAACCACTGCGCCACCAGGGAAGCCCCATAATTCTTTTTTATCATAGTAAATTTTGGTATACTTTTGTGTATGTTACTTTTTTTCCTTTTTGGAAAACTAATACTAGCAATACTCAGAGATACTGCAGGTTTGGTTCCAGACCACTGCAATAAAGTGAATATTGCAGTAAAGTGAGTCACATGAATTTTTTTGGTTTCCTAGTGCGTATAAAGGTTATGTTGATGCTATATTGTAGTCTGTTTAAAGTGTGAATAGCATTATGTCTAAAAAACAATGTACATGCCTTAACTAAAACATACTTTATTGCTAAAAAATGGTAACCATCATCTGAGCCTTCAGCAAGTCATAATCTTTTTGCTGGTGGAGGGTCTTGCCTTGATGTTGGTGGCTGCTGACTGATGAGGGTGGTAGTTGCTGAAGGTTGGGGTTGATTTCTTAAAATAAGACAATAAAGTTTGCCACTTTATTGACTCCTCCTTTCATGAGTGATTTCTCTGTAGCCTACAAGGCTGTGTGATAGCATTTGACCACAGTAGAATGTCTTTCAAAATAAGAGTTCTCTCAAACCCTGCCTTTGCCTCTGCTTTATCAACTAAATTTGTGCAATATTCTAATCCTTTGTTGTCATTTCAACAATCTTCACAGCAGCTTCACCAGGAGTAGATTTCATCCAAAGAAACCACTTTCTTTGCTCATCAGTAGGAAGCAAGTTTTATCATGAGCTGGCAGCAATTCAGTCCCATCTTTAGACTCCACTTCTAATTCTAGCTCTTTTGCTGTTTCCATCACATCTGCAGTGACTTTCTCCACTGAAGTCTTGAACCCCTCAAAGTCATCCACAAGGGTTGGAATCAACTTCTTCCAAATGCCTGTTAATGTTGATATTTTGACCTCTTGCCATGAATCATGAATGTCCTTCATGGCATCTAGGTGAATCCTTTCCAGAAGGTTTTCAATTAACTTTGCCCAGATCTATCAGAGGAGTCACTATCTATGGCAGCTATAGCCTTCAAGACCTGAAAGTTGAAATGACTCATTGATCCGTGAGCTGCAGAATGGATGTTGTGTTACCAGGCATGAAAACATCATTAATCTCTTTGTACATCTCCATCAGAGCTCTTGGGTAACGAGGTGCCTTGTCAATGAGCAGTAATACTTTGAAAGGAATCTTTTTTTCTGAGCAGTAGGTCTCAACAGTGGGCTTAAAATATTCAGTAAACTCTGTTGTCAACAGATGCGCTGTCATCCAGGTTTTGTATAACCTATAATGGAAAAGAATCTGAAGCTATACACGTGAAACTAACACAATATTGTAAATCAACTAAAGTTAAATAAAAAAGAAAGAACGAAAGAAGGAAGGAAGGAAAAATGTATACATATATACATATACAGAGCACAGGCAGAATAGACTCAGCATGACTCTTAAGGGCCCTAGGATTTTCAGAAGGAAGGAAGGAAGGGAGGGAGGGAGTAAAGGAAGGAAGGAAGGAAGGAAAAAAAATACATATATAGAGTACAGGCAGAATAGACTGAGCATGACTCTTAAGGGCCCTAGGATTTTCAGAATGGTAAATGAGCATTGGCTTCAACTTCACGTCACCAGCTGCATTAGCATGCATGTCCTTTGAAGCTTGAAGCCAGGCATTATCTTCTCCTCTAGCTATGAAAGCCCTAGATGGCATCTTCTTCCAGTAGAAGGCTGTTTTGTCTACATTCTATCCAGACCAATAAAACTTTCTCCTTATCAACAGTAAGGCTGTTTCACTTTTTTATCATTTGTGTGTTCACTAGAGTAGCACTTTTAATTTCCTTCAAGAACTTCTGCTTTGCTTTCACTTCTTGGCTGTTTGGCACAAGGGGCCTGGCTTTATGCCAATTTCAGCATGCCTTCCTCACTAGGCTTAATCATTTCTAGCTTCTGATTTAAGGTGAACGTGGGATTCTTTCACTTGAACACTTAGAGGCCGTTGTAGGTTTTTAATTGGACTAATTTCAGTATTGCTGTGTCTTAGGGAATAGGGAGGCCCAAGGAGAGGGAGAGAGATGGGTGAATGGATGGTCAGGGGAGCAGTCATCAGAACACATACAACATGTATCGATTAAGTTCACCATCTTATATGGGCATGGTTTGTGGTGCCTCCAAACAATCACCATAGTAAATCAAAGATCAATGATCATGGACCACCATAACAAATATAATAATAATGAAAAAGTTTGAACCATTGCAAGAATTACTGTCAAAACATGACACAGAGACAGGAGGTGAGCAAATGCTTTTGGAAAAGTAGTGCTGATATATTGGTTCAATGCAAGGTTGCCACAAACCTTCTATTTGAAAAAAACACAGTATCTGTGATGTGCAATAAAATGAGGTCTGCCAGTAATGTTTCCGAACATTTTACCAGGTCATCGAGCTGTGTGTATAGGTGTCCACGTCCCATTTAGTAAAGAGAGTCGCCGGCGTCACAGGCATCGTGGACACAAACATCACCACCGGAGAAGAAAAGACAAAGACTCAGACAGAGAAGATGGACGGGAATCTCCTTCTTACGGTAAGAGAATGGAAAGTTCTCCGTTAACAGTTTAAGGTTCTTTCCTGGAAAGGTTTTTTTTGTAAATTAAATATTTCCTTTTTAAAATTGTATTTCTTTTATAACTCAGACAGAGTATATGCATTGAGGAATACTAATTGAAGTAAGAATATTTTTCTACAAGAAAAATGCTTAGTTTGTAGGTTAAGATCTACTTAGGATGAGTGAAAAAAGTAAGGGGCTTTGGTTTCTTTATCGTATTCCAGCCTTGGAATTGTAAATATTGAGTATTGGCACTTAAAATGCAATTTAGGAGGGTTTTTATTTCCTTTTCTCTATTATATATTTCACAGTTAGCATATGCAATGAACAAATATCTGGAATCCTTAGGCTCCTGGAAGAGATTGAAAATTTTCTTTTTCATTCTTAAATACGTTTTTTGCCAGAAGATTTTTATCCATAAAGCTGGATTACTTGGTTATCTGTGCAGAAAAGAGTGCTTTGATTTGATAGTATTGTCTTCAGAAGGACAGAATTTTTGTTTGAAAGCAGAGCAATAAAGAAGTGCCAGTAGACAGAGGAAATGATGGGAATCTCAGAAGGCAAAAAAGGCATATGGTAGAGGAAAATGAATTATTATCTGATAATAAAGATTAATAGTTATTTAAGTGCCCCTGAAAGCTGGAAAGGCGAGAGCCTGAAAAAATAGCTGTGCGGCTTGAGCAGGACATTGCACTCAGTTGACATGTAGGGCGTCATTGGTTTTTTAGGACATCGTGGCCCATATGGCCATCTACACCATAGGTCCTAGTGTGTGCATTTTCGAGGAGCCATGTGAGCTGCACCCCCTCAGGCATTTGTGTGCTGTGCTGAAGGAAAGTTCTTTTGACGAGGTAAAGAGGGAAAGAATTACTGTGTATACTACAGCTTATGTCATGATCATAAGAAAGAAGATACTGATGGCCTAGTAAAATATTAAGTGCCAATTCTTTGCTAAGTATTCCACCAAGCCCTTGACAATGTGCTTTGACTTAACCTTCTCAGCATTTTTAAAAAATTAAAGATAGGTATTATTGTTTTCATTATATAGATGGAGAAACTTCAACTTAGAGCGGCTAAATGATGGGAATCTCTTAGCCAGTACTAAGAGATACTGATGGCCTAATAAACTATTAAGTGGTCATATAGCTAACAAAAATATGTCACTGGTGAAGGAAAAATCAGTAATTTTAGAAAGCATCATTAGTGGACTTTGATGACATTGGTAGTTGAGAAGTATTTTGCTGTTATTTTGTGAGTGGATCAGTATGCTTCTCTATTTCATTCTGAATAAAAAGGCACACCATAGTTTTTATAGGAATGCTGCTTACTAGACTGTAAGTATGTTTATGTGTTCACCTGGCTAGGTGGTTTAATGTTCAAGCTGAGGTCTGAAATATGAAGTCTAAATATAGTGGTTTGAAAATAAATTTGGTGGAGAAAATATTTGTAACTTTTTCATAGAGTAATTATGCCTAGAAAAGTTTTATGCCACAGAATTGGGTTTATTTTGGTTTTAACTCCAATCTGTATCCTAGAAATTGCTATGAAGTCCCTTCTTTCTTCCCCCTACTCTCCAAAAAGAGATTACACAGGTGTTTTGCTTCTGGACATGGTGGAATAACAGGAATTGAATTTGCCCTCCAATTTTAAACACTTAGAAAACTGCCCAAAATATATGAAACAGTAATTTTCAGACAATGGACAACAGACAGCATAGGATGCTGAGCTCTGAGAGAGGGGAAGCAAGTGAGATGACCCCTGTGGTCCTGAGTTCATCCCTGTGAGACAGTTTCCAGGCCACAGCATGAGGAACCCAGACAGAGTGTAGCAGGCTCTCAGAGTTGAGGAGACAGATTAGAATTTGGGGAGGCCTAGAAGGTTAGGATTTAAGATGTAGAGTGCCAGAGAGTAGAGAGCTACACACAGAGAGTGTTCCAAAGGTCTGAAGAAGGGTCCTTTTAAATCTTTGGCTGGGTACTAGTCTGGGTATGTGTGACAGGAAACTACCTGAGGCTTGATAAATAGCCACCAGAAAGCAGTATGGTAAACAATTCCTGGATTTCACACAAAGACTGGGAATAGGATGTGTTCCCACCAGTCAGAGTGGGAAGACCTTGTGACATATAGGGCATTAGATAGAGGTCTCAGAAGGGTATTGCCTTAGTAGTAGGTCTAAATTAGTTTTACACTAAAGGCTGCAGTGGATCTGCTAGAAAAAAAAAAATTTGAAAGCAGGTCTTGAAAGAATTAAACTGACTTCAAGTATCTGCATGCTGGAAGAAAGTCTGGTACTACTAAAAGAAATACAGTAAAACCTAGCACCTAACCATGAGAAATGCACAATATCTGACATCCACAAATTATTTGGAATATAATGAAGAAGGAAAATAGGCATAACCAAGAGAAAAATAAGTCAATAGAAACAGATCCAGAGGGAGGAGCTTCAAGATGGCAGAAGAGTAAGACGTGGAGATCACCTTCCTACCAAAGATACATCAGAAATACATCTACACGTGGAACAGCTCCTACAGAACACCTACTGAACGCTGGCAGAAGACCTCAGACCTCCCAAAAGGCAAGAAACTCCCCATGTACCTGGGTAGGGCAAAAGAAAAAAACAGAGACAAAAGAATAGGGATGGGACCTGCACCTCATGGAGGGAGCTGTGAAGGAAGAAGTTTCCACACACTAGGAAGCCCCTTCACTGGCAGAGATGGGGGTGGCGTGGAGGGGCGGGAGCTTCAGAGCCATGGAGGAGAGCACAGCAACAGGGATGCAGAGGGCAAAGCGGAGAGATTCCCGCACAGAGGATTGGTGCCTGAGAGGCTTGTCTGCTCACCCACTGGGACGGGCGGGGGCTGGGAGCTGAGGCTTGGGCTACAGAGGTTGGATCCCAGGTAGAGGACTGAACACAGCCTACGTGAACACAGCCTGAAGGGGGCTAGTGTGCCACAGCTAGCCAGGAGGGAGTCTGGGAAAAAGTCGAGCTGCTGAAGAGGCAAGAGACTTCTACTTGCCTCTTTGTTTCCTCGTGTGCGAGGAGAGGGAATTAAGAGCGCTGCTTAAAGGACTTCCAGAGACCAGCGCGAGCCGTGGCTATCAGCGCAGACCCCAGAGACAGGCATGAGATGCTAAGGCTGCTGCTGCAGCCACCAAGAAACCTGTGTGCAAGCACAGGTCACTATCCACATCTCCCCACCTGGGAGCCTGTGCAGCCTGCCACTGCCAGGGTCCCATGATCGAGGGACAACTTCCCTGGGAGAACACACGGCGCACCTCAGGCTGTCGCAATGTCATGCTGGTGTCTGCCGCTGCAGTCTCACCCCACACTCTGTACCCCTCCCTCCCCCAGGCCTGAGTCAACCAGAGCCCCCAAATCAGCTGCTCCTTTAACCCCGTCCTGTCTGAGCAAACAACAGGCGCCCTCAGGCAACCTACACACAGAGGCAGGGACAAATCCAAAGCTGAACCCTGGGAGCTGTGAGAACAAAGAAGAGAAAGGGAAATTTCTCCCAGCAGCCTCAGGAGCAGCGGATTAAATCTCCACAATAAACTTGATGTACCATGCATCTGTGGAATACCAGAATAGACAACGAATCATCCCAAAATGTGGAGGTGGACTTTGGGAGCAACTACATATATATTTTTTTCCCTTTTTCTCTTTTTGTGAGTGTGTATGTGTATGCTTCTGTGTGTGATTTTGTCTGTATAGCTTTGCTTTTACCATTTGTCCTAGGGATCTGTCAGTCCATTTTTTTTTGTTTGTTTAGGTTTTTGGTATAGTTTTTAGCACTTGTTATCACTGGTGGATTTGTTTTTTGGTTTGGTTCCTCTCTTCTTTCTTTCTTTCGTAAAAAATTTTATTTTAATAATTCTTTTTTATTTTAATAACTTTATTTTCTTTTACATTATTTTATTTTATCTTCGTCTTTCTTTCTTTTTTTTCCTCCCTTTTATTCTGAGCCATATGGATGACAGGCTTTTGGTGGTCCAGCCAGGTATTAGGGCTGTGCCTCTGAGGTGGGAGAGCCAAGTTCAGGACACTGGTCAACAAGAGATCTCCCAGCTCCACGTAATATCAAATGGCGAAAGTCTCCCAGAAGTCTCCATCTCAACGCCAAGACCCAGCTCCACTCAACGACCAGAAAGCTACAAGACTGGACACCCTATGCCAAACAACTAGCAAAACAGGAACACAACCCCATCCATTAACAGAGAGGCTTCCTAAAATCATAATAAGGCCACAAACACCCGAAAACGCACCACCAGACGTGGACCTGCCCACCAGAAAGACAAGATCCAGCCTCATCCATCAGAACACAGGCACTAGTCCCCTCCACCAGGAAGCCTACACAACCCACTGAACCAACCTTAGCTACTGGGAACAGACACCGAAAATAATGGGAACTACGAACCTGCAGCCTGCAAAAAGGAGACCCCAAACACAGTAAGTTAAGCAAAATGAGAAGACAGAAAAACACACAGCAGATGAAGGAGCAAGATAAAAACCCACCAGACCTAACAAATGAAGAGGAAATAGGCAGTCTACCTGAAAAAGAATTCAGAAAAATGATAGTAAAGATGATCAAAAATCTTGGAAATAGAATGGACAAAATGCAAGAAGCAGTTAACAAGGACCTAGAAGAAATAAAGATGAAACAGACAATGATGAACAACACAATAAATGAAATGAAAAATACTCTAGATGGGATCAATAGCAGAATAAATGAGGCAGAAGAACGGATAAGTGACCTGGAAGATAAAATAGTGGAAATAACTACTGCAGAGCAGAATAAAGAAAAAAGAATGAAAAGAACTGAGGACAGTCTCAGAGACCTCTGGGACAACATTAAACGCACCAACATTCGAATTATAGGGGTTCCAGAAGAAGAAGAGAAAAAGAAAGGGACTGAGAAAATATTTGAAGAGATTATAGTTGAAAACTTCCCTAATATGGGAAAGGAAATCGTTAATCAAGT